ATTCTGCCAAGGATTTATATGCCATAATAAGTATTTTTTTTGATAGTATGTCTCTTAAATTATAAAATGAATAAACTATTTTTTTTAATTTGGTTGTTATGTATTGCGCATGTTCTTTCCATTTTAAATTTTGGTTTATATGTAGACCTAGATACTTTAAGGACTCAGTTTTTCTAATTAAACCTTGGCATTGGCAATCTCCTCTTAGTTTACATGTGGCATGGAATTTGATTTCCTGAAAGTGTGGTTGGGTCACCAAGCTATTTGTAAAAGACATAAACTTTGTTTTTGAAAAATTAAGACTTAATAAATTGTTATCAAGCCAACATTTTACTTTGTAAAGATTTTCTTCGCTTTTGCTTCAGCCCATGTATTTCCTTTAAAAAGTAAAACCGTGTCATCAGCATATGATAGTATGTCGCCTTTTATTGACAGTTTTAACATTTCGTTTATGTAAATTACAAACAGCTTTGGACCCAAAACGGTTCCCTGGGGGACGCCATACTTAATTTTACGAGAGATACTCAGGGTATTATTAATTTTTACAAATGAATTGCGATCACTTAAGTAGCTTTTGAATAATTTTAGAGCAACTCCACGGATTCCGTATTGTTCCAATCTTGTCAGTAGCATTGGATGGGATATGCTATCGAAAGCCTTAGCCAAGTCTAGAAATATTGCTATTACTTTTTGTTTATTATTTAGTAAATCGTGAATTTTGTTAGTAAAATTAAATAGGGCGTCCTCCGTAGAACACTTGCTTTTAAATCCAAATTGATTTGGTGCAATTAAATTATTTTTGTTTAAATGTTCGTCAATTCTTCGAGCAATGCACTTTTCAAAAATCTTTGCCAATACTGAAATAACTGATATCGGTCTATAATTTTTAGGGTCAAGTTGATCTCCGTTTTTGAAGATTGGGGTAATAATAGCATTTTTTAAAAGTGTGGGAAAACATCCTTTTTTAAATGAAAGGTTTATTAAAAATACTATTTTATCTGCAATGTTTTCTTTAACGTTTTTTATTGTATTTGTAGTTAATTTGTCTATTCCACATGATGTGTTATTTTTTAGTTCATTGATTGTATTCAAAACTTCTTGTTTTATTACAGGTCTTAAAAACATAGAATTTATTAAATTGCTTCTATGCATATTAAGAGGGTTATAATCGGAAAGAGGGTCATTTTTAATTGAGTTTGCCATGTTTTCACCTACTTTTGAAAAGTATTCAATAAAGATATTGGCAACGTCAGCTGGCTCTGTTGCAGTTATATTATTTAAATCGTCACGCAGTGTAATTTTATTGGTTTTTGTGTGATTTATGTTTTTTATTATTCTCCAGATTTCTTTTGTTTTATTTTGAGATACATTAATCTTGTCCGTATAATATTTTTGTTTTGTTTGTTTTAATATTTTGGTGAGATAATTTCTATATGTTTTATATTGATTTAATAATTGTATATTATTTTTTTCTTTTAAATACTTTCGTTTTAAACCATCTCTTTTTTTAATACATTTAATAAGCTCCTCAGTGATCCATGGCTTAATTTTGCTATAGGATTTAATGTTTTGATACGTGGTACAATTCTTTATAAGGAAGTTTAATTTATTTGAAAATATCCTATATGCTTCATCGGAATTTTCTTCTTGATAAAGGTTATTCCAAGTTTTATTTTGCAGCGCAAGATTAAGTTTATTATAGTTTATTTTTTTTATTCTTTTTATTTCATATTTAGGTATTTTTAATTGGGTGTTATTTGAGACGTTAATCATAATGTTATAGTGATCTGTAATATGAGACCTATAAATTATTGGAGTTATTTTATTTTTGTTTTCTAATAGTTTTGTTACTTTAATAAAGGCATGATCAATACAGGATTTTGTTTGTGTCGTTACTCTAGTGCTTCTATTTATATATGAAATAAATCCATGTGAACTTAGACAATTTATATATGTATTTGCGATATTATTTAATGTTCCAATGTCAATATTTAAATCCCCAATGAACAAATTAAAGTCATTCGCACTATTTGACAAGAGATAGTAATCAAGTTCATTTATAAAAACTGCAGCATCAGTGGAGGGTGCTCTATAGGTTGTAATTATGTTATAGCTTAGGTTATTTAATGAAAATGAGAGTTTTGACAACGTTATTTTGGATTCATTTAACTTAGTATGTATGACATTTGCCTTTATTTTATCACTAATATATAAAACCAAACCGTATATAGAAAGGTCCATCATAGTCTGTAAAAAACGGAGCTATCTAACCTCCTTTTATACTTTTAAAAATTGTATTTATAATTATATACAGGGTTTTCATTTCAAAACTTGCCACCCCTATTATTTCCATATATATATATTTTTTTTTAAATCGCCGAGACCCGTCAATTTTGTTTTTGAGGGGGAACAATTTTGACGTATAAATTAGCTCTCCCCCTTTAACCCCCTACCCTCCAGAGCCACCCCTACAAAAATCTTAAATGAGAAAGGGGGTCGAGTGATACTTCATTTCAAAGGGCTTTTTATTCTCTATATTTTGGCATATTATTTTTCAAATTTGGGTGTTGCGTTGCCGAGTTAGGCGTGTGTCAATTTGAAAAGTTCCCACCACCTATTATTACACTATTTTTGTTCAAATTTGTCCAAATTTAACAGCAATTTTAAGATAATTAGTGTTTAAATAATGCATGACACACTAATTAAAATGTTTGATCCGTTTCTGAGATAAGGCATAAATTAATTCTGTAATGATTAAAAGAAGTAGACAGAAAATCAGAAAATTATTTTATTAAATGCTCAAAGTGAGCTCCATTATTTGCTAAACAATAATACATTCTATTTTCAAATTCTTGCCGGACTTTTCGAAATGTTTCCCGAGGGATCTGTCTACATGTTTGAGTTATTCTAGCTTTTAGATCATCAATGTTTTCTGGCTGAGTTTTATAAACTTCAGTTTTTAAGTACCCCCAAAGAAAGAAGTCTAAGGGTGTTAAATCCGGTGATCTTGGCGGCCACTCTTGGGCACCTCTCCTTCCAATCCATTGTCCAGGAAATGTTTCATCCAGCCATTGCCTAACGGGAAGAGCGTAATGCGGTGGAGCTCCATCTTGTTGGAAATGCAAATTGTCTTCTTCCAGCATAACGTTTCCGTCTTCATTGGTCTGGTTTTCTAGCGACTGAGTGATGAGTGGATTTATTACATTTTCTAAAAGTTCTAAATAGAGGTGTCCAGTCAGATTTTCTTCTATGAAAATAGGTCCGATTATCTCATCCCACAGAATTCCTGCCCACACATTGATCTTCTCAGGATACTGTGTATGGTCCTATCGAAACACATGTGGATTTTCATTGTTCCAATACCTACAATTGTGCCTATTCACAAATCCATTTAAGAAAAATGTCGATTCATCGCTAAAGCAAATATTTTTTAACAAATTTGGATTATCTGTAATTTTTCTAGTAATTTCTTCACAGAACTGTATCCTTCTGTCATAATCGTCTTCACTGAGTTGTTGATGAATTTGCAGTTTGTAGGGAAAAAACTTATTTAGTTTAAGTACCTTATGTACTGAACCAACAGAAATGTGAGTTAACTTGGCTACTTTCGGAATTGAAGTATTACGATCCATAGAAAAATTACCAAGAACTTCAATCTGCGTTGCCTCGTCCAAAATTTTTGGTTGACGAGTTTTTATATTACACACCGAACCAGTCGCGTCAAATTTTCTTACCAAATCAAGTACATACTGGTGGCTTGCATGTTTAGCAGGATGTCTAGCGTTAAAAACTGCTGCTGTCCTACGAGCACAACGATTTTCACTTCCGTAAATGTAGATAATCTCTATTCTTTCCGCCAAAGTATAAACCATTTTTGAAGAACTTTTTACTGTTGTATTAATAAAACTTCACTGAGCACTTTAACTGCGGCTGTCGTCAATAGACAGGAATTTATTTATTTAATAAAGATCGCGTTGATGCATCGAGTGAGCTCGTACGTAGAGTGTAAGTAAGTATGCGTACGCTTATCAGACGCATAAAAAAACAACTTTTTTATGTCGAAAATATTTATTTACATGTATCGTCGAGTTACAAGAAAAACATATGCTCATTTTTTTGCTGTTTTATAAAAATAGTGTAATAATAGGTGGTGGGAACTTTTCAAATTGACACACGCCTAACTCGGCAACGCAACACCCAAATTTGAAAAATAATATGCCAAAATATAGAGAATAAAAAGCCCTTTGAAATTAAGTATCACTCGACCCCCTTTCTCATTTAAGATTTTTGTAGGGGTGGCTCTGGAGGGTAGGGGGTTAAAGGGGGAGAGCTAATTTATACGTCAAAATTGTTCCCCCTCAAAAACAAAATTGACGGGTCTCGGCGATTTAAAAAAATATATATATATATGGAAATAATAGGGGTGGCAAGTTTTGAAATGAAAACCCTATACTTAGCGTTTCTTTACTTTGTCACTGGCCGAGCGGAAAAGTAACCAAAACGCTCGCTTAGTTACCATGGAAACCATAATAACGAAACGTCTAGTATACAATGCCACTTTTGACACAAAAGTCAAATTTAAGGTTGTCAATAATTAATAATTATTACCAAACATTTTTATAAAATCACCGGTTGTAGAAAAAATCCTGTGTGTAGTTCGAGAGCAAAGTGACATTGCCGCTCTCGCGAGATAGTCAAACTTCTCGCTCAGAGCGACAATATATCACTTTGCGCTCTTAATATACAAATAGCTATTTTAGAATCAACAAAGATTTGTTGTTTTATTTGTTAAACAATACATTAAAGGTATAGAAAAGTATTAAAAAGTTTCTTAACGCTAATACCTATTCAAAAAGTTTTGTACTGACTTTTTGATTTTGCGGGCAGTAAACTAGATTTAAATGATAACACAATAAAATTTCAGGTGAAGACAACACCGTGAAGTAAAACATTACATTACGTTACTGACCGGTTCGTAACAAACGGCAGGTTCAGTGATCATGTCGTTTGTTACGAACCTGGTTCACAACCCTGTTTAAAATTATTATAATTTTTAGAGGAACACAAATACAAAACCCGTTATAAACACTTTTTCAATAAAAACAAATGTGACCAATAGATTTGCCGAAACCCTGGTTACAAGTGTTGTGCACAATAATGTATCTTACCCGAGAGAAACCACTTTTTCTGTTGTAATACCAGAGTCGGCCTATATTACGGATTTTTTTATGGAAATAAATGGCGTACCATATAAATCATTTGTTGTTAGCATTGATGAAGCACTAAAGTATAATAAAGTAAGTGGGTGCATTTATTAAATGTTTCATTAAATAATCTTTTTATTGTAAGGGTGATGGTAACTCTAATGCACACGTAAGAGTTAGAAATTCGAATGAGTTTGAATTAACTGTTAAATTGGAAGCCAATGGAACAACAATATTTAAACTTTATTATGAGGAAATTTTAAAGCGAAAACAATCACGTTATGAAATTATATCCAATATTTTTCCTGGACAACTTGTCGAAAATCTTGAAGTTGAAGTAAGTACGAGTTAAAATATTAATTAATTAAGAAAAACTGAAACTAAACTTAAGGTCTAATACATAGGGCCGGTTTTTCAATCGTTGGTTAAGTTTATCTTACGGTTAATTTCCTTAGATACTATTGTTAACACAATAGTATCTAAGAAAGTTAACCGTAAGATAAACTTAACCAACGATTGAAAAACCGGCCCATAGTGTTTTAATAAAATAAGGATTAGTAATTGCTTACTGACAGTAAGCAGTAAGTTACTGTATATTTTTGCTAAAATTAATATTAGGAATGATCCCTACGTCTGATAGAACATGTTAAAAATTAGTTTTTAGAAATATGCATGTATCTGAAAACCCATTTCAGTTTAATTATTTCAGGTTTTTATAACAGAAGATGATAAAATAGCCTACATCAATGCACCTTACTTAAGAACCGGCAATGCAATTCTGGAAAATCAAAAAAAATTTAAAGCTGATGCTGATGTTTATGTTAACAATGAATTAGGCCATATACGATATACTCCAGGAAAAGATAAACAGCGCAAGCTAGCTTGTAGCCTAAATAAAAATCAAAGATTTGCCGCACAATTGGTTGTAGAATATGATGTATTAAGAAGTACTTCAGTTGCTAGCAAGGTATGTAATCATAACTAGAAATCAATTCTCGGACCCTTTTTTCCATATTATAATTTCAATGTAAAATATCTGTGGTATACGTATTCTTTTACTTTCCAATAAGGGTTGCCAGATGTACTGGATTTCGCATGGATTCAGGGTTTATATTTATGCGTCTTGCCTAAAAGTAAGTTAAAAAAAAACATTGCTGGTTAGCTTAGAAATGGGCGCGTAATGCCTATTGTTGTTTATTGTGTAAAGTGTTCAAAACGTGAAATGTCATTGTCAAAACCTCGAACATATGTAAACTTGTGAAGTTTGTTTTTAATCAGTTCCTAAATAAAATTAGGCTTCCAACTGTCACAACAATGTCATGATTCTTCCAGTGGCCGGTATTTCCTTTATTTCTGGAGGCGGGTGAGGCAACACGAAAAACTAACTTTTTTTCGCAAACTTCAATTTAAATTTTGTTTGGACCCAACTTTTCTATTTAATGTCATTATAAACTATTATAAATTTGGTGTGGGTCCCATGTCTAATAACTAAGATATTGATATACCCAAAATCCACCAGCCTGCGCTTCGCTTAATAAAATGACATTGATGACTTTTTGACACAGGAAAGATAAAATTGGATTCCGGGTATAGAAATATATCTGTATTTTGGTACAATACCTTTTAACGAGGTATTTTGTGATTTGTACAATAGATTGAGTGGATGTTTCAAGATTTGAAAATTCACATGTCTATGGGTGGATGGCTTCAAGAAGCACATGGACGTTAAAACTGGTAACTGGTCAGTACAAGTTAATTGGCAAGACCAATTCTCTCAAAAGAGAGGATAAACTGTTTAAGAAGAAGAAAAATAACGTCATCACTTCCTACGCACACGATACACAAAAACCGGTATGCTGGTTATGAAATAAAGACTCCGCGCATGTAACGTCACGTGCGAACCAGATTCAAATGTTACAGTTTTGCATAGGCATACGTTATGCACGGGTGTTTTACTACGATTTTTTTTTAAGTTTTTTCCGAAATGAATGTATTTTTGTATAAGTCACGCACGATGGTTTTGCAACCTTTTTCGTAAAGTTTTTACTGCTTTTATTGAACAGGAATAACTATTTACAAGATATACGCCACGCACATAACCTTACTAGTAATAAAAATAATAAATATAATAATAAAAATTAAAACAAAATTGTATCGGAAACCTGCTTTAAAAGGGTTGCCAGATGAGGGAATTTTCCCCAAAAATGAGGGTATTTTTTTGGGTAATTTTTTGGGGATATTTTTGTCTGAGGATTTATTCTGGGGAAAAATTATCACTTGGGGTCTTTAAGGGGATTTAAGATTTTACCACTACTCGATACAAACTTTTAAATAAATAATCTCGAAATCTCATAAAGAGATGACATATATATTTATGTATGCTAGTGAAATTATTTGGGATGACCTCTTTGAAACATTTATTTTAATTACTTATTATATGTAAGTGGCGCCATCTCAAATTAACCCACAGTTATGTCAGTTTTATACCAACCGAAACTATGTTAAATAAATTTAATGCCGGCATGTATGATAACAATAATAATAATAATAATAATCTTTATTTTCCTTTGATTAATTACATTAATATAGAAATCGTCGGTTGTAAAAATATATAAATTAGATGTATAAATATAAACATGCACAAAAATATCAACGAACTAACTTTAGATTAACAAACAGAAAATTAACTTAACAAAAACTCACTTAAATTGTAAAACTCACTTTTAATTAGATATGCTAAATGAGTTAATATTGTTTAAGTTTCTTATTTCCTGAGGAAAATGGTTGAATGCACGGAGACCTAAAGAATTGGGTGAATTTATACTTATATTTAATCTAGAAAATGGAATTTTAAAGTTGTTACATTTTCTGGTTTTACAATTATGTACAAGGTTATTTTTTAGAAATTTATTTTTGTTAGTAAATCTAAATTTGACCAATTCGTATAATAAAATTCGCGTTAAGGTTAATATCTTTCTTTCCCTGAAGAGAGTTCTACAACTTGTAGAAGGCAATATACCCAGTAGGCAACGTAGAACTCTTTTTTGTGCTATAAAAACACATTTTGCAGATGTAGATGGTCCCCAAAAGATTATACCATTGTGTAGTCTAGATGCAATATATGCATTATACTTTTGTCATATTTTGTTGGGATATTGCAGTTCGCAAATTTCTTAATAGGTAGCAAAGGCTATTTAATTTTCTGATCAAATTTATACAATAAATATTCCACTTTAGGTAATTATCTAATGTTAGACCCAGAAATTTGATTTGATTATCAATTTTTAAATCCAATATTGAATTTTGCGGGGTTTGAAATCTGAGGTACGTTGTTTTATCTTTATTAAAATGCAAAAAATTGCTTCCAAACCAAGTTTTTAAAGCATACAACACATTATTACATTTGTTTTCCAAAGTTAAGTTACATTTATCAGAAATAATAAAAGAAGAATGATACTAAATGATTTGAAAATATTGATTTCTAACATTAAAAATTGGTTCCATAACCCAAATATATGTATTTCTTTATATATAAGAAGTATTTTTAGAATAAAAACGTATTAAGTTTATTTAATATATATTATTATGTAATAAAAGATGTTTTTTTTCTTTTTTTTAATTTGGGGATTTCGTAATAATAAAAAAACTGGGGATTTTTGTTTTTAATTCCTAAATTTAGGGAATTTTTAAACTCCGATTGGGTAAATTCCGTTGACTGATCTGGAAATCTTGGTGTAACAGGTAAAAAGCAGTTTTGATTGTTTGTTTTACTTTTGACACTTTAACCTTTATAAATGCATTTTTATAATTTTGTTACATTTTACATTAAAAAAATGTAAAATTCGGTCTAGCGTAAGTTACCTAACTTAATTCAATTAAGTAAAAAATATTTTATAAATAATTATAGGAAGGTAGGAAATTATTTGCTTAAAATATGTTACATTAGTATTAAAAGCGATTGCTGCCAATTTAAAAATTGCACCCCGGCCGTCCCTATATTTAAAAAATTTCGAATATAACGTGAATTTGCAGCACAAATAACATTCCAACCCAGTTACCCGCCCGCTTTTGGTTTAAAGACAATTTAATATAACTAAAAATTATGACTGCATCAATACCCTAAAATCTGTAGTTAACAAAACTCTGCGACAGCGAATAGTTCAAGAATGCCGAACTTTTCAAAATGTTCGAAAGGAATATGAGTTCGATTTTGTCTTTCGTGTGTGGTACATCGCACTTTCATCTCTGGGACATCGCTCGATGAAAAAGTGTGAAACATAGCTGACTTTGACCCAGGAGGGACAAAATTGAATTCCGGGTATAGAAATATACCTGTATTTTTGAACAATATCCCAAGCTTTGACCTTCTAGCGAGGTATTTTGTGATTTGTACAATATATTGAGTGGATGACCCAAGATTTGGAAAATCCACGTGTCTATGGGCTTCGTAAAGCGAATTAAGGCCTTTGGCCACCAAGGAAAAAGAAAAAGAAGAAGAAAGGAATATAAGAATAGAATGTATTTTTGCTTACTAAATAATGGGAGTCATTTTGAGCATTTAATTTAAGAAGCTAAAAATTAAAGTGTTTTGATTATTGTTAAACAATTTGTTTAGAGTTTCTTAGAGTTATTTTGTTTTCTTTTATTTTTTTACTAATGTTTTTACGACAACAAAATGGTTTGATTGTATATTTAATGGTTTAATTTAATATTTAATGGTATAATTTAATATTTATTACAAGAAATTGAAGTAAATAATTAAAACTAAACTATTTAAAGGTAGGTAATTTTATAATGTTAAATAGAAATTTTTAAGAGCTTTCCAATGAGGGTGTTTATATTAAAAAAAATTAAGTTCGGGTGGCTTAGTAAAGGACATTTTTTTGGTCTTACTGATTGCCCCCACATTTAGTAACGGTTTTAATCCATTTTTGATATCTTTTTTAGGTCCAGAGCATTGTTAGTTTTTAAATACCTGTATAATATATCGTCGTCGGGCGTGCAATACCTCCAATGTGATAATATACTTGAAATTTCGTTTATGATATTAACATATTTTTCTGAGCCTTGCGCACATTTTTCTAATATCTACAATGTAAAATCATATTTTGCGCACTTATGCATGATTTAAAAACCGCCAATATTCAATCAGTTAAACGTTTTTAGTCTCTCCTGTAAAATTTTGGATATTGCACATTGGGATATTGCACGCCCGTCGAGGATATATTGATTAACCTCATCACATATAATTTTTAGGTTTACTCCGATGGTGTATTTTTTATAACATTTTTTGTACCAACCGACTTAAAACCGTTGACACAACATATAACATTTGTCCTAGATACAAGTTCCAGCATGTGGGATGAAAATAGATTAGTCAATTTAAAAGAGGCGATGCATTTAATTCTTGAAAAAATCAACAACAAATCTGTTTTTAATATCATATCTTTTAACTCAGAAGTTTATTCATGGGATATTGCAAATCATATGGTAATAAATTCTAAATTTATAAATCAGCTTTATCTTTTTTTCGTTGTTTTGGTATTTTTTTGGTCCTAGCCCCCGTTCCCAAAATATTTGAAAAAAAAGTATTTTCACTCGTTTTGGGGGCGGGTTAACGTTTTGAGCCATATATTTATGAAGGCATTAAATTACAAAATGACCAAAATAACGGAAATCCTACTTTTTTTTAATTATTCCAGTATCAAGCAAATATACACAAAACATATCCAGCAACCAATCAAAACATCCAAAATGCATTATCTATGATAGAAGAAATGCAAGCTCTGTCTACCACAGATACATATATGGCACTTAAAACTACAATGGAGCTATTAAAGAGCATTCAGAAAAATAATCCAACATATACTTCCAAAATAGTTTTTCTTACTGACGGTATCCCATTTGGAGGACGTACAACAAATCTTGAAGAGATAGTCAACACGGTAAGTCCTACCGACACAGTTTTCTAAAGCGTGGACCGTAATCGCTTCAGTAAACACGTAAAGAGAAACTAACAAACTAATTTTATTATTAATTATTAATAAGGTCCAGGGTTTAGTAAACAATGTCTGTTTACGGTTCAGTCAATCTTAGCTTATAATTTGTATAAATATGGTAAACTTAGTATTTATATTTAGTTACAATTCGCTTTTCAAGATAACAAAATCGTTGGCGAAAAGTATTTTAAGCACTTTGTGTTTTGTTTTGGTGTTGGGAAATATTTCAAATATTTGTTTAACATATCACCAAAGGTGTCCTTTTTTAAGTAACAAAATATGTTGTTAAATATATATATATATATATATATATATATATATATGTTAATTTTTAGATTTCAAACCAAAATAGAGATTTAAAGGTTCCAATTTATACCATATCGTTGGGCAAAGGCGCCAGTAGAGAATTTTTGCAATCATTAGCTGGAAAAAACTATGGATTTGAAACTTACATTTATGATGGTGCTGATAAAACACTTCAACTTAAATTTTTTTATAATGAAATTAAGGAACCTATATTAAAAAATGTGCAATTCAAAAATTTAAGTGATATCACCGATTTTACACACTCAACAACTTCTCTTTTGTTTGAAGGCTCAGAGATTATAGCCGCTGGAAAAGGTGACCAAACCATATTATAAACTAGTGCCGCAATAAAACAAAATTACTTTTTTTAGGGGGGAATTGGAAAATATCCAGAGGTCAAAATACATTTTCAACAACAGGATACACCAATGGAGAAATGATTGAATATAAACCAGATGTAAAAATACCATCAAAAAATTTGGACCGCCTTTGGGCATATTTATATGTAAAACAGCAACTGGCTCTGTCAATTAGCTCAGATACCAATAAAGACGAATTTAAACAAAGAGCTATTAGCGTAGCTTTAAAGTATTCTTTGGTAACAGAAGTAACAATGCTTATAGTGGTTAAACCAACTGGGCAGAGTTTAAATAATATCATAAAAAACTACCAAGATCCAGTAATGGACCAGGATGACTTATGTAATGATGAGGGTAGGTTTTTAATTACACAGAGGGACAAAACTTTATAACATATACCAGACTATACCTTTTTGAAGGATTTTGACGTACAGAATCCAAATAAAGTTTGATCACATCAGGTTGTAAAAAAATTGTATAGTTTTTCTAAATTTAACGATTTTTCCAATACAAGATCAAAAATTCAAAAGAATGAAAAGGCAATTTTACAAAATGGTATTGGATAAAAAATATCACAAGTGTAAGAAAGTATTAGTAGGATTCAAATACAGCGCATCAAAAACCTTTGCAAAGATATAGTTTGGTTAAGTGTCAAACTGCGTTATTTAATACATATAAATACGATTTTTTGTAGAACCTCCAAAGCCGGTATCAGTTCCTGATGTTTATACACCACCAACAAAACCAACAACTCCAAAGCCCATTCCAAAATATTATGATCCTGGTGAGTTAGGGTTATACAGGGTGCACCAAGTATTCTTTTATGTATATTCTTCCATGAATATTTTTTATTTGAAAAGGACGGTTAAATTAGTAAAAATACCAGAAGCTACAAAAATACATGAAAAAAACTAAAAACCTTTTAAACCCAACCGTTGATATTTTTGTAAATTTCAAAAAAGTAAGTTTTACATGTAAACATACACATTAATCTACATTTTCATCCAATTTTGTCCGAAAAACACAACGACAAACTTTCAAGGGTGGTATGCCATTATTCTTACTAAAAGATATTCCTAGTTAAAAATAGGTGTCGTATGAGCAAAACTTTTAAAAAAATCTAGTGGGTTTAAATCTGGTAAACGCGCAGGCCGGCTACAAGACCTCCTCTCTCAATTTATCGGAAAAGGAAATTGATGGTCTAGATACTGGAGCACGTACAAACCAGTATTTATAATGTTTAAAGGAACATTTTTTAATAAATCTGGCAAAACATTTTACAGAAAATTGAGGTAAATGTTTGTGTTCAAACGAGCAAGCAGCACGTAAACTATTAGTTACTCTGCAATAATTCCAACCCACATGTTTGCCGAAAATTTTTGCTGGTTTTTTAGAAATTATAGCATGTGGCCGTTTATGCTATTAAAATAACCATCACGCGTAAAACAAGCTTTATCAGAAATAATACAATTCTCCCAAAGGAAAGGTCTTAGCCTATTAGAATTTTGCATGGTTAGATAATTTCTAAAATGGTAAAAAACCAAAGATGGACGTGGTAACTAAAAATCTAGGAGGCTAAAAAAATATCAAATTGAATAAAATGTACATAAAGATGTTTGTTTACATGTAAAACATATATTTTTTTAAATTCCCATTTTTTTAAACTATTTGTGAATCGCTCTTTTTTCATTTTTTTACATTTTAATGCAATTACGCAATTTAAGTGACTTTGTAGCTTTTCAAATGAAATACAAGGTTACTTGATGAACTCTGCTCTCTTAAATTAAATTAGTCAAAAATGACTATTTGTCATAGCGAAAAAGCAGTTACTAATAGCTGTAGTTTTTGACATATAGTCAATTCCATAGATAATTTCATATGTAAAATTTATTATATTTTAAAAACTTTTCTACTTTTATAACTTTTGACATTTTCTGTTTCAGCAGACAATTTTACATAGAAATTGATTTCTAAACGTGCTATATACAAATTGCTGTTGACTAGAATTATTAGTGTCTGCCTTTTCTCTATGATAATTAGTTATTTTTGACCAATTTATTTTAAGAGAGTGTATATCAGTTAAAATTATCTTATGTTTTACTTTGTGGACTATGGGATTATCTTTAGTTTTCTTTTTGAACAAAATCTTGTCTACCACGAATATTACTAGATAAAAAACAATAAGTGTTGTAATTTTAAATATTCATTCCTTAGTATTGCCTGTAAAGTCTACTCACTATAAGCCGTTTAAAAATGTTTTAGCTAATTGTCTATTGGATATTGATGATAGTGCATGCGAAATAAAATCATATAAATGGGCTTTTGATAAGGATTTAGGAGCTTGCAGACTACTTGAGTATGGGGGCTGTCCTGGAAACAAGAACAGATTTAGTACTGAACAAGAATGCCTAAGTAGTTGTGGGATTGTAAACAAAGATGATGGTTATTATAAACTCATATATCGTTAATTATTTTATGTAAACAATTATAATATTTTAGAAAAATGTTCTCTACCTCTAATGAGGGGTCCTTGTGGAGGCAATTTTACCAAATGGTATTTTGATAAAAATGATCAGAAGTGCAAGAAATTTTTATATGGAGGATGTAAAGGCAACTATAATCAATTTGAGGATAAAGTGGATTGTGAGAGCGATTGTTTGAAAAGTGAACAAAACGGTAAATATTTTATATACATTCTTTTAAATGTTTTTAATTTATTTATTTCTTTATAATAAGGCATTTGTGAATTTGAACCTGAATTTAATAAATGTGGAAAATCTGAAACGCGCTATTACTTCAAAAATGGCAGATGTACTACGTTTCGGTATACAGGATGCAATGAGTCCAAGAGAGGTTTTCTTACTCTAAAAAAATGTATATCAACATGCGAAGTGAATTCAAGTAAGAAAATTTATTTAAAATATATTTGTCTATTAGTTAATTACAGGAAACTGTGAACTTCCAATGAATCCTGGTTATGGTAATGTCAATAGTATTCGGTGGTATTTTAACCCAGAAATAGGCTCATGTCTAAAATTCAAATATGGCGGACTTGGTGGTAATATGAACCGTTTTGAAAAAGAAGAAGACTGTAAGCATATCTGTCAAGAAGTGAATACCATAGGTAATAAAAATAATGTTTAAAGACAATATTTTTTACATTATAATATTTTTTAGATAAATGTAATCTTCCAAAATCCCCAGGAATATGCAAGCAAACACAACAAAGATATTATTTTGACAAAGATACACTGGAATGTGAGCTGTTTGATTATCATTGCTATGGAAACTCAAATAATTTTATTTCATATGATGAATGTATTAACGAATGTTCAAAACCTGCTGTTTAAAAACCTTATAATATAATGCTTCTTTTATTATTATTATTATTATTATTATTATTATTATAAAGTAAGAATTCGTGAAACGTATCATCACAGAAGAACTAATTTAAAAATAATATGAAAAAATAGTATCATTTTAATAAAAACAACGAATTCCCATATCATAAATAAAAAAATTCCAAAATGACAGGCATTTTCAAACTACATACTTCTAAGAATTTGAAAGTGTTTTCTTTTCTGAAAAAATAGACGCGGGGCGCTCAAAAATGATTCCGCGGCAATTTAAACAATGTCTGTATGTATATTTTTTTGTTTTTTATGCTGAAATTTTTTCAAACAAATTGATAAAAATAGTACCTACATTATAGACAAAGTGGATAAACTACATATTAATAGTAGATGGTGTGCTAGGCAATTAATAAGCTTTCGCCGCCGTGTTTCATATACTTTTTTAAGCGTTTAATTAAATATTTTAATAAAATTTTATCAAACCATTTTTCCGTTATGTTTAATTGACATGATAACATTTTAGCTTTATTTCTCTTAAGGCAAAATTGTTATACAAATTTTCTTGAATTCGATAAATTATTGTATGTTTTACGAATTCTATATTAAAATTATGCAATGTTATGCTTATAAGGAGATAAAAGAAAATATAAAATATAAAATGAGCAGTGTTTTATTTAGTATTATTAATTTCATAATAGCTTTCTAAAACACTTGTGGTTACAAAAGTTACATCCTCCCACTTAGGGACCATCCGTGACGCTAAAAATGTTTAAAATTGACCCCCTCCTTTCTAACTCAGTTGTGACGGAATGTGATGATTTGAAGACCCCTCAAAGATTCACTTGACGAATTATCGAACACCTACCCAAAAAAAATCCGATTCTTTTTTTTATAACACTGTGCAACACCAAAAATCAAACCGCACCGGACCATTTTTTTCTGAATTTTTTTTTATGGCCGTTTGTATTTTCGAGCTTCATATACCCCAATTTAGACCTATAATTTTTTCGCATATATTCGATTTATATCGTCAATATTTTTTGTAGACATGTAGTAACTGAACAAATAAACCCATTTTGTGAACAACCTATATCCCAAAACCTAATTTTTAGGACCAAATATTCAAAAAATTATTTTTTTTTAAATTTTTTGATAATATTTAAAATTTCTTGCTACTTCTTCTGGCAAAACTGTTGTAAAGTATACTAAAAGAAGTAATTTATAAAAAACGTACACAAAACTGAACTTTAACTTATTTGCTGGAAATCAATTTTTAAACAAGATTTTCCAAAATATTCATCTTTTCATACTTAACACCAAATTTTTTGCCGAAATCTTTGGAAAATCTGTAGGAAAAAATTGAAAAGATAAAATAGAATTGTAGAAAAGTACAGAGAGTTTGATTTTTTAATTTGTATTAATTTTATTATTAAAAAACTTTTTATATTAAAACATTGACTAATCTGATTCATTGCTGGAGAATTCCATCCCTTCCACTTCTTCTCCTTTATTTTCTTGTTCTTCATTTTCATTTTTTGATTCATCACTGGAGAATTCCATCCCTTCATTTCATATATGTTTTATATTAATTTCTTTTCAGGCGTTTTAAATGGTCCTGATATTCGGAAATTGGTAAATTATGAAGACTTTGACAGGGCCTTGGTTAACAATGAGATAGTTGCGTGGGCGTCGATAAGATAAGATAAATCATCGTTGGACTTTTAGGCAAACATCGTTCTTCCAATAATGAAGGATCTGTGCGACAAATGTTGGATGTTTTTTCAAAAATTGGAGTCAATATGTCGCTAAAAATTAATTTCCCTCATCGCCATTTGAACTACTTCAGTCGACAGTTATCGACACAATCAGATGAGCAGGGAGAGCGTTATCATCAAACTGCGATGCCATACTATCCGAAACATTTTGGTGAAGTAAACATATTTTTGACTACAATCAGGAAGAAAATGAAAATGAAGAACAAGAAAATAAAGGAGAAGAAGTGGAAGGGATGAAATTCTCCAGTGATGAATCAAAAAATGAAAATGAAGAGCAAGGAAATAAAGGAGAAGAGGTGGAAGGGATGGAATTTTTCAGCAATGAATCAGATTACTCAATGTTTTGATATAAAAAAGTTTTTTAATAATAAAATTAATACAAAATAAAAAATCAAACTTTCTGTACTTTTCTACAATTCTATTTTATCTATTAATTTTTCGGCAAAATATTTGGTGTTGTGTGAAAAGATGAATATTTTGGAAAATCTTGTTTAAACATTATTTCCAGCAAATAAGTAAACTTAAAATTCAGTTTTGTGTGCGTATTATATAAATTACTTCTTTTAGTATACTTTACAACATTTTTGCCAGAAGAAGTAGCAAGAAATTTTAAATATTTAAAAAATTAATTTTTCGAATATTTGGTCCCAAAAATTTGGTTTTTGACGATATAAATCGAATATATGCGAAAAAAATCGATTTATAGGTCTAAATTGGGGTATATGAAGCTCGAAAACACAAACAGCCATAAAAAAAATTCGAGCTAACTTTTACAAACCTAGCAAGGGTTTTGCTATTGGATAGGTATATTTTCAGAAAAAAATGGTCAGGTTCGGTTTGATTTTGATGACCCGAAAATTGTCGCACAGTGTTTACAGAAATAATACCAATTTTATAATTTTAGGAAAAAATAAATTGTTAATTAGTTCTTCAATGGATAATTTGCATTCGTTTTTTTTAATTATATCTTTTAATATGGAGAATGTTAGTTTAAAAACACAAATCTTTTAATATGGAGAATGATAGTTTTAAAACACAAATCGGTTAAATAGTAAACAAAAGGCACCAAGATTGTTTTATCAAGATACTTAAATCAACTAAATGTATAAACTCAAACATTTTTATGGGAAGGAGAATGTTATATTTTCCATCAGTTTTGTTTTGAATGGCCATTTGTCGACTTGATTTTATATGGGATTATCTATTTTTGGGGTTGGCACATCTAACTCATTATCCACAAAATTAGAAATGTGACTTTTGTAACTACACCTAAAAACACTTTATATAGAGTTCATGACTGCACCCCTCACTGTTTCTACTATACCCCTAATTTTTTATTTAACCTTTTGTGGATAAACTGAACCTCCCTGTAAATCTTTTTTAAATTTTTTGATTAATATGTTAAGAGTACCCCAACGGAAGGAGTAGTTTTAATTTCTCAATAAATGATAATTTTATTTTGCGATAAAAACCCTCTTTATTAAGAAAATAAAATTACACTCTAGGGTTGTATATATACGTAAACGCAGGCATTAAACTTTAGTACGTTGCAAGTAATGGGTGTGTAATAACAAGCAAGTAAAAAAAAATTAGTTTCAAAATAGCGTTGCAAGAAAATTACCTGCAAGATGGTGTCAGTCGATTAAAAGCACCTGGTGTCGCGATTTATCTTCTCCATTTAACCCCATTTGCCACTTATAAGGTAGCATCTGCTGGAATTTATCTGTTTCGCTGTAAATGTTAAGTTAACCGTTTGCTACATTTTAATTAACATTTGCTTTACTATTACACGTTATATTGCTTTTGTGTTTTGTATTTTATATATATATATATATATATATATATATATATATACAGGGTGTCCCAGAACTCGCGCCACAGAGACAAAGGGGCGTGCCGATAGCAATGGAGATGCCAAATTTAAAAATAAAAAATTTCTAGGTAATAGTGTAATCGAATGAGAGCAAAAAAGCGGCAGCCAATAACGAGATATCTCGCCTAGGTTAAACGTAGGAGCTTTAAAAATTGCTAGGAGACGATAGAACATTGTTGTCTTAAAAACATTTAAAAATCTTTTGGCCAACTGTATTTACTAAGTTGTCAAAAGCTTTCAAAAAATGAGGTCATTAATCTATGACTGATACTTCAGAACGCCAATGTTTTAAAGTAAAAAATCAAACCAGTTGTACTTTATTTAGCTTTTTTTGCGCCCACGCTCCCCATAAATAGTTATCATTTCGGTATAATCATCAAGGAAAACATTATTTATAATAACTTAATTTATTACCTAATACAATATTAATGACAAAAGTAAAGATTGACAGCATTGTCAATAATAACTTAATTTATAACCTAATATAATATTAATGACAGGAGTAAAGATTGACAGCAGTTTTACAATGAATTGGATTCCAGTGGACCAAATATTTTACATATTTTTTATTATCAACAATGCAACCTAAGTATCCTAGCAATTTAAAGAATTCCCTGTGGTGATCTATTGGGATTGGCTATCGTTTTTTATTCTTATCTCCCTTATCCTTTGCGTTGGACAATTTGAATTTTTAAATATGTGTTTCAAATTACTTTCGGTACGTTCCCTTTTTCTCTGTGGCGCGAGTTCTGGGACACCCTGTATATATATATACATATATATATATATATATATATATATATAATTGAACTTTGTAGTTCGATTAAATAAAAAGTATTACCTTCCTCGTAAAAGAAGGGTTTGCAAACAAATTTTTGTATCTAAATGGCGATAATTTTCCAACAAAAAATCGATTTTTAATGTCTCGAAAATTGTGGATGAAAAAATTAAAAAAATTGAAACGACCCTTTTCAAAAAATACAATTACAGGATAATCGAGTTTTTAAGTTTCAAGACAAATTTATATTTGGTAGCGCCCTATAATTTATATAAATAATACATTCAGATTTTAATATGCTCATATTGTGTATGCAGTAGCGCACATAAAATTTAATTAAATATTTTATATGATTAAAAAAAGACTACTTACAATAAAATATATATTTACTTGTAAAATGTTTGTATAACAATTAATTTAAAATACTTCAACCAACTAAGAAATAAATAAATAAACAAAAAACTGTGCACATTTCTGTACTTAGTTTTATGTGGTTGTCATTCGGCTACTTAACTGTATACAGTGTATACATAAACCGTGACTGTATGTAAGATCTATAATGTTATAACTTATAAGTTATTATCTTTTATATGTTGTAAGTTTTATTAACCCCATCATAACAAATATTAGGTTGGTTTGCTTGCAAATTGTATTAACAAACAAATATTAATAACGATTATCTGTTTGTTTTTATTTCCTTGTAAAATGCACGCTTGCAATAAATTTTGCGGATATAAATCAAAATGTATTATAAATTGCTTGCGCAAAACAAAACCGTTGAATTTGCTGAATTGTAAATATGAGAGTAAGATTTTTGACCGGAAAGGTCAAGGTAAATATAAAAAGAAATATTTTTCATAAAAATAAATTTTTCTACTCCCATCTTTAAAACGCCCATTATCGTATATGTTTCCATGACACTAAGTAACCTTTTAAATGCACATTGACAAGTTGTGGCTTTATGGCGCTTTAGTCACAGGCTTAAGTTAGCAACAGGTTTTTAGTCACGGCTGAAGTTAGTTGTAAGTTAGTTGCCAGTTGTCAAATGTCATACAATAGTTGAAATAAAGTGCCTTTCTTCTCTAAATGTGAAAATTATTGTATGAGATAATAAGATTGAGATCAATACAAAAATACAATGACAATTGACG